AAAAAAAAGGGGGGGTTTTTAAAAAAAACCCCCCTTTTTTTTTTTTTTTTTTTTTTTTTTTTTTTGCATAAAATAGAAAGCTTTAACAATGTAACATTTTCTAATTCAGGGAAGAGATTAAGACCTCCACCTGAAGAAGAGAAACCCTAGAGAGAGAAAGTAGAAAGCATCCAAAGTTAGAAAGCGAGCTGAAGCAGCAGAGAAAATATAAAGTTGGTTTGCAAATTGCCAAAGGAGAAAGGGGTTCATCTTCATTGAAAGCGAATTTGTACTTTTGTCTCCAACGTTTGAAAGTGTAACAAACGTACCTAAACCTTTTTTAGCATTAGTCATCCCAACATGAGTGATTATTGGGGTACATGATGTCCATTTTAAACACCCTTATATCAGAGGTTATGTACCCCAAGAAAAATTCTTCCAATATTTCAATTTGTAAATACATTATACATCATTCCCTCCATATTGGTCATTAATGACGAAATTGTCTTTTTTTAAATAAATAAAAAAATTATTAAACAACAAAAAAAAAAGACAAATTAAAATATTAACCTATAACCTTTCACAAAGTACAAATAGATTTCATTTAGAATAATTAAATAATTATTAATACATAAAAAAATTAGAAAAATATAATTTACGGTCAAGCTCACCCAACCAACTCCACCAATACCAACATCACCCCATCCCACACATCGTAATCCACCCCTACTTGTGATCAAATTTGTCTTCCTTTAATTTAGAACTATGGCATGCTTTTAGTTGTTATCTTTTGTGTTAGAACATTTGTTCTTGAGCTCAGATGTTATAAATTTAATTTAAAATATGCAAATACATATTTTTTAAGAGTTTAAATGGTAATATGTTTTGACATAGTATCAGAGTATTCAAAAGATAATTTAAGCTTAAATTTTTCCTCCACTTATTTATTAACACTAATATGTCATTTATATAGAGTTGAATATATATATATACTAAAACACAGGTCGAAGTGCTTGTAGCTTATGGTTACTTTGTTAGGGACATTTAATATGTCAAGGGTGGGGGGCAACACTCCGCGACACTATACAGGGGTATTTTTGAATTTTTTTAAATATCTCATACGAATTTGAGTGAAAGTATGTGCACGAGCACGTGCATATTGTAACCCCCATTATGTTCGTATAAAAATTAATCTACTTGTACAATCACAATTGGCGATGTTTGATGTTGCAAAATCTGGACAATTGATTTTAAAAACTATTTTTAATTTTTTTTTTTTTTTTTTTTTTTTTGAAATTGATGAATGTGATGATGATTGTCAATCATCATTGTACCTATAGCTTGATTTTTCATATAATAAAATCATAATTGCTTGACTCCCATGGATGTAGGTCTATTATTGATCCACTTAAATCTGTACATGTTTGCTCTTGCTCTCTCTTTGTTGATTGCATATAGTTCATTAATATTGCCACATTTAGTGGAACAAATAAACAAAAATTGTATCTTATCTATCACGTTAATTTTAAATGAGGGGATCCAACACAAATTATCCGTGCTTATAATTATCTTGATTCACAGATTGGAGAAAATTGTTATTGTTGAGGAGGAGAAACCACACATACTATTTATCTGCCTACTTTTTCTTGAAATAAGGGTCGAAACTACTAATTTAGATTTTTCATGTGAAATTTTAAAAAATGAAACAAATGAATTGCACTTGGGAAAATCTTAATTCGTAATAACTAAATAATAGTTAGAATTTTGATATTTGAATATAATTCATCCTCGTAATGAAGTTTGCTCTATTTATGGAACACATCATTTTTCCAGTAAGGTTGGGACCATTGCCCATTGAAATGACAATGTTCAAAAGCCTCAAGTTGGAAGACTTTTAAGCACAATGGAACTCAATAATTGTTAATTTATTTGAGTTTGGCACAAATCAATTCTCAATCAATTTATCAATATAGATTGTTGACATTTCAACAGTCGAACATAAATGAAGAAGTTACAATATTAATATTCTCAAACCAACTCCTAACAATCACAATTTAACTAATCTAATTTTCAACGATGAAGCTTTTTTCTTAACCTCAAGGTTTAATATTAAGCCCATATTTGACAATCATACTTTTCGAAAAAAGAGTTTTGAATAATAAATTTTAGGAGAATGAATGGTTAAAAAGTAGAAAAAAATGTTTGTGTTTACGTGCAAAATATTTTATAGTGTGAATATTTAATTGAGAATGAGTATGTAGACGAAAGAGTTTGAAAAGTATAACTCTCAAATTGGCGCTATATTTGAGTTCATAACATTTGAATTTTTTTCAAAAAAATTTAAGAATGATGTATTCAAACAAATTACCATCGTGCAAAGCATATGCTAAGAATAATATCTTACATCATTAAAGATGAAACAGATAACACAATTTATCAAAGCATAACAAAATTTACAACCTAAAACGAAACAACGAGCATCCATAGTTATTAAGCTCCCATCATAACAAATTGTAATGGGTGGAATAATATTTTATTTATATTTTTTTTAGGATAGATGATTGAAAAAGAAGAAACAAATTTCAATTCACGTGAAATTAGAGTAGGTGCCCCATATGGTCTAGTGCTGGCAAATCTACACGGAACTTTGGGGCCATGCCCAATCTTTTTCTTTTTTTCTTTTTTCTTTTTTCTTTTTTGAGGGCCCTATATTTGGAGTACAACAATGGAATGGACCAAAAGTTTGTTCAATTAGAATGCTAAAGATTGCCTACACTTGCCTAGTTGAATTAGTATGCTAAAGATAAGTGTAATAGGTATTAGCAATATGAAAGTTTTATCTTCCCAACATCAATAGGAGCCATCTTTGAACTCGTAGAGTTTCTATGTAACAACAAGATATTCAAGTTTTTTATAAGACAAGCCAATACATCCTAACATAGAAATTCATTGTTTGTTTTTTGAAAGAGGCTTCACAAAACAAAAAGGCAAAACATCATAATATAAAATTTCAATTCTCTCCATGAGATACTTTTTTAAGATTGATAATGAAATTATTATGGAACAATATCAAATTATGGAAGGAACAATAACTTATAAATTATGTCATTTTTAGTCTTTTTGTAATATCGTTTTATATTTTTATCATCATTAATCCATGACAAGAAACTCAAAATTCAATGACACTTAAATCATTTCCGTACTGAACGAATTTTCTCGTTGACTATTCGAAGTGAAGAAGTGGAGTGTTTGGAAGCATGTGCCAAAGATTCAACATGTTTACGGCATTTGAGACTTGACCGTCTAAATTTTAATGGTCTAAACCTCTTCACGAAGAGAAAGATGGTTAAGGGTCTGCCGCATATTCATCATCCAAAACAACTTGTTGTCTCTATGAAAAGCAATCATAAAAGACATTCCCGAAAGAAGCAAGTTTTCAAGCATCAGGACTACTTGAATTAGTGCATACAGATCTTTGGGGAATGACCAAGCCCACATCTTTTGGTAAAAGTAATTACTTCATGTTATTTATTCATGACTTTTTTTTTTTTACAAAACACCAGTGTATTTTCTTAGAGAAGATCGATGCATTTGAAGCTTTCAAGAATTTCAAGGCGATGGTGAAAAATCAAAGTGTCACAAAATCAAAACTTCATAATCAAATCATGGTAGTGAATATATTAGCAACACATTCAAGATTATATGTAAAGATCATGGTATTTATCATTCTTTAATCGCAAAGAGGACGAGTAGGCCTCATAAAAATAACTCCATGCATTTTTGAAAACTAAGAAGATGCAAAAGAAGTTCAAGGCCGAAGCAACTCAGTGTGCCATATCTTTGCTGAATCGATGTCCCATCGAAGTTTGCAAAATGACTCCTAAAGAAGCATGGAGTGGATTCCAACCGAGTATATCATATTTTTCGATTTTCAAGAGCATTGCTTTATCTCGTGTTCTGAAAGAAAAAATAAAACTAGATGCAAGAGAGAAATATATCTTAGTTGGCTATGCTCAGGATCAAAAGTTAATAAGCTATACAACCCAATGAATAAGTAGGTGATCACTAGTAGAGATGTTGAGTTCGACATTGGAATTGGCTAAAGCAGCAAGATTATAACATATTTTTTTTCCTTTCGATGATGATGAACAAGTTGATGTGATTCCACCTCAACTAACACTATCAACTCCACCTCCAAGTTATGGTCAAGATATACGTTCATGTTCATCATTTTCAAGTAAAATACCACATCATTTTAATAGTCTTAGGGAGATTTATGGTGATACAGAGGAGTTATGTCGACATCTTGGGAAATTAACTTTGTTTTGCCTATTTACCAATTATGCAGTTATTGATTTCAATGACACCATTCAAGATGATAAATGAAAGAAAGACATTAAAGAAATGATTAAAGCAATTAAGAATGGTAAGGCAATTGGGAACTAGTTGAGAGTGGACAAGATGTTTATTTGTTTAAGAGTGGATTAGGAAATTAATTAATTAACGAGAAGAAAATTAAACAACAAAATATTACATTAAACGGGGTCCAATTGCATGATTCTCCTTGGGTTGGAGAAGACTCACTCTCGAATCTTTAGTCACTCATCCGACACCTCACAGGGACGGTGATTCAACTAATATGTCAATTTCATAGATATTATCCACATATCTTGATTCTAAGGATCATGAAAAAATTGTGCAATTAATTAAATTTTTTCACTTCTATCCCACCGTATCCCAACAAATTCACTGAAACATTTAGAGTTATTGCGTTGCAAAATTTTGGGATTTCCAAATGGTCCAAGTATATTTGACCCTATGACTTGTTCAACCATGTGGCCTTCTACTAGAAACTGACCATTTAAGTGTGCAAATTATTTCATTTACATCATTGTGGTTCCAATTTTACCAACTGCCATAATTTCATGATGATCATCTTTTGACATTGAGAATTGATTCTCAAAATTAGCAAGTTGATCCATATTATTCCTCAAAGATTTATAAATTTGTGTCCAACTCCATCTTAACATCAGTACAACAATATGAATTGTTGTCCCCACGGGTGTTGCTAGCCAATCTCATAACCAAAGTTAGCCCCTCAATTACCGGAACACTCTCCATCTCTGAGTTTTCCATTTGCAACATATCTACAGTCAGGCTCTCGACTAAACCCATCATTGCACCAGTCTCTTTTAGCCATAACATGCACGCCATGGTCACCGCCTCGTGCCTCCCGCCTATCGTCATAAAGGTCGCTCACCATATATTGTGGAGGGATAACCAATCTGGCCACCTTTTGTTGTCACGACCTCAGGATATTGACAAATTTGTATTAGCTCAAATCTATGGTTTCCATTATCAACCATGAAAACGAGACGTTTAACTTGTCCTCCTCGATCCATAATTGGGAACATAGACTAACTATGATATCAACTAACACATGCGAAAGCTTAAACAATAACAAATATGGGATTAAAAATGAAAATTCGCATAAGAATTAATCATTTAGGTGGATATATGAAAAAAAAAATCTCAAACATTTTATTCATATTAAAAATCAACCACCCTACAATTCAATTATAACACCAAATTTATTCAACACTCCTAACTAGCCTTTTAAGCAAAACAAACTCAAGAAAATTTACTTATTTCGATTAAACTCCTAATCCTACTAAAATGATAATAGACTAGTTAATTAAAATAATAAAATTGAACAATATTATCTTAAATTAAACAAACTACTTGCATCACAGATTTAAATGGCCACATAAAGGAAACGTAATCTACATTTAATGAGCCGAAAACAATCTATGTGCAATATTTATATTTAAACTCGTATGGCAATGTTTAAAATTCCAAGATCATTAATTCGATCCTAAAGTCTTATTTATCTTTATTTTCTTGTTATAATTACAGTATATGAAGCATAAACGCAAACGACAATTTAAAGTTGAATTGTCTATAAATGGTGTGTCTCACCTTAAGTCAGAGGGACCGCTGCCCTAATTTGTTGGAATTCTCTGTTGCTTTCTATTCCTTTCAATTAGATGCATCATGCTGCAGAATAATACATGGGGAAATATTTTCAGCTAATTAAACTAAGAGCAGATGAAATCAAAATCTAGTACTTCTATAAATAGAATGCGAGTTTGCTACCAAATACACAACTCAAAGGTAAGATTTAATGCATGTTTTGTAATCAATACGAAATTCAACGATATGACGATTTTTTTACTTTAGCAAATATATTCAATCATACTATATTCTAGAAGGTTAATTTAAATGCATGCAGCTGCACTTATGTGTCTGCGTAAGACAGTTGAAATTATAGGAATTTTTCGTACACCAGGATGTTCTGACTAGGTTGACACATCTTCACCACCCTCATCATCTACGGCTCCCCAATAATTTATTAGTAATATCAAAAAGAAAGAGTACATCAAAACTGAAGCATGAACCTTAGACCAAAAATATTGGATAGGAAAACAACTAATATCTCACATGTTTAAGGTACAAAGCATGAACCTTAGACCAAAAATAAAATAAAAAAAGAAGAAGAAGCCAAGCCATCTCTCAGAGAGGGCGCTATTGCACTCATAACTTGTACTGCCCACAGTCCCACATTGACTCTCAAAATGAACATATTCAATAGCATTCACCCACTATTAATGATCAAAAGATTTGTTGAAAACACCACGAGCTATGAGAATACATTTTTTTTTTTTGTTCCATCCCTGTGGTCACATTTTCTACATGATTATTGATGTTCAACTATACATTCTGCCCTGCCCCCTCCCCTTCCCCAAAAGCTAGTTTACAAAAGCACACCGGAGAAAAACATGTGACATGTATCAATGTACCCTTCGCCCCTAGTTTTGTTTGATTAATTCTTTGTATAACACTTGTAGATTATTTGCATCCATATCCAAGCTACAATTCTCTACCTTATAATTTCCATTATTGCCCAATTAATGTTGTAAAATAACATGATTTGAGTAATGAACTATCAATTATAAGCATGAGTCAAATAACATAAATGAAAATAGAGTTCGAAAAGCTAGTCCAAGAGAGTCGCGATAAACACTGTCCTAAAGTCGTGTGGTCTTTCCTTCATGTGGGTACTTTTAGCACTGCAAGGTTCCAAAATAAAACCCTTATAGCTCGCAACTGATTCTCCTTCTATGTGCACGACCACAAAGGGAGAAAGAATATGCCCTTAACAATCGTGAAAATTTATAGAAGAAGAGAATATAAAATGGCTAGAGAGTAATATGAAAAGGCTAGAGAGTGTTTTTTAAGTGTGTGATTTGTTGTGTGTAAAACAATGAGAAATTCACATCCTTTTATAGTAGAAAAATCGAAATCTCTCATAATGAAAATTAATCAAATTCAACATAAGTTACAAATATAATAATGAATTAAATTTTTGTATTGAATCTAAAAATTAAAAACAAAAAATTAAAAATTAAAAAAATGAAAACTGAAAACTTCAAATTTAAATGTTAATTTGAAGTTTTTAAAATTTGTTCTCAACAATCCCCCATAAGTTTTAAAACTTTCGAAATAATTATACACATATTTATATAGTCGTAATATTATACTGTGTAATAGAATGGGTTGTTCCTACCATATTGAACATTCTTCATGAATCTCCAATCACAAAGGTTAGGTTACTCCCAAAGATGACTCCTTTCGGGCTTAAGCCCATCCCCCGTAATGATTCATTAACACCCGTTTTGGCTAAAGCTTTGGTTAAGTTGTTTGATAAATTTTCAGATCTCACAAAATTAAGAGGAATCACGTTATCTTAAATAAGGCCTTAACTGACTTTGTTGCTTGAATATGTCTATTCATCTTTTTATTTTAGTGATTTTGATTTACAAGCTCTATTATTGCTTTACAGTCATAATGTATTGAAATAGTTGGAATTGACTTACTTATTAATGATATATTGAATAATAAATCTCTAAGCCACTCAACATTAATACATGTTGTATCCAATGCTATTAACTCTGACTCTAAAGTACTCCTAGAGGTAATAATTAATCTTTTTGAATCCCAAGATATGACAACACCACCTAACATGAATATATATCCATTAGTAGACTTGATATCTACATTATCAATTATCCAGTTTACATCGCTATATCCTTCAACAACATTTGGAAAACTTCTATAGTTTATAGAATAATCTAATGCACCTTGAAGAGATTTATGCACTCTTTCCAAAGCATTCCAATGTTCTTCACTTGGATTGTTAGTATATCTACTAAGTCTCCCAATAGCAAAGGATATATGAGTTCTTGTCCTACTTGCTATGTACAATAAAGATCCTATAATTTGAGAATACTCAAATTACGAAACTAGTTCACATAAATTCTTCTTCAAGTGTACATTTGAATCAGATGGAGTGGAAACTGGTTTATTGTCATTATGTCCAAACTTTTTTGACATTTTTTTAATAACATTAGATTGATTTAGTGAAATTCCTTTAGATATTTTCCTTAACTTCATTCGCAAAATTATATGAGCTTCTCCTAAATCTTTCATTTCAAAGTTATTTGACAAATAACTCTTCACATCATTAACAAATTCGAAATTTGTCCCACATATATGTTATCTACATATAAACAAAGTATCACATGTTCGTTATTATCTTCTTTGCAATATACACACTTGTCATGTGTATTATTTTTAAATACATAATTTAATATAACTCTATTGAACTTCTCATGCCACTACTTAGGAGCTTGATTTAGTCCATATAATGACCTCTATAATTTACATACTCTGTGTTCTTGTCTATTGACTTTAAATTCTTCTGATTGTTCCATATATATTTATTCATTAAAATCACCATTCAAAAATACAGTCTTAACGTCTATTTGATGAATGATTAATTTATAAATACTACTTAATGATAACAATGCCCTAATAGTAGTTATTCTAGCATCAGGAGAATATGTATCAAAATAATCAACTCCTTTTTGGATGAATCCTTTAGCTACTAACCTAGCTTTATATTTATGTGTACTTCTATAAGGTTTCAACTTCCTTTTAAATACTCACATCATATTGCCTTACTACTTAGGTAAATCACATAAAACACAGGTAATATTTTGTATAATTGACTCGTACTCATCATTGATTGCTTTTTTTCAATAAAGTGCATCAATAGAGACCATAGCATCTTTATATGTTTTAGGTTCACCTTCAATTAGAAATGTAAAGAATTCTTCTCCAAATGATTTCTCTTTCCTAGTTCTTTTACTCCTAAGTTCATGTTCAACTTCACTTTTTGAACTAGATGGAGTACTATTTAAAAACACTTTCTTAGAAGTTAATGGTTCATTTGAAATTGCAGTCTCAAATAGGAAAACATCTTCAAAATAAGTAGATCTCTAGCTTCAATGATAGTATTATCTTTAATGTCACTTATTTTGAAATTTATAATCAAGAACCTATTTGCGCTACTATTTTGAGCATATCTTACGAAGACAACATCCACAGTTTTTGGTCCTATTTTCCTTCTTTTAAGATCAGTTATAATTACGTTTGCCAAACACCGCCACACTTTTAGAAAATCTAACCTTGGAGATCTCTTTTTCCATAACTTGTATGGAATTTTAATATTGTCCTTAACAGTTACTCGATTCGTTATGTAACAAGAAGTTGGAATAGCTTCACCCCATAAGTTTTCAGGTGTTCCGAGACTTATGAGTATAGCATTTATCATATCTATTAAAGTTATATTCTTCATTTCTACAATACCATTGGATTGTGGTAAATAAGGAGGTTCACTTCGTATATTATACCATTATCTTCATAGTAATCCTTAAAATTATTCCCAGTATATTCTCCTCCTCTAACCTCAAGATTTTTATCTTACGTTCTAATTGATTTTCGACCTCCATTTTATAGATTTTGAACTTATCATAGACTTCATCCTTCGTTTTCAATAAATAAATATAACAAATTTTTATTCGTTCGATGCGCTTTGCTCCTCTCACTCCACTCCGCTCCGCACTGGCATCGGTCCATTTGATCCAGGACCTGTGTTCCATTCTATATGAGCCACATGCACAACAGATTTGAAAGGTCTTTTAGTTTGTTTGGCTTGTACACACACTTCACACTTATCATTAACAACTTGAGATTTTGGAATCAAGCTTAGATCCATAAGTTTCTTGATCTTCATATTACTAACATGGCCCAACCTTTCATGCCACAAATAAATAACTTTAACATTAAGAACCATGGAGGATCATGATAAAGATTTTCAATAATATTCAATTTAAACAATCCGTCACTAATATAACATTTCCCAACAAAAACATTGTTTTTTGTTATAACAACCTTATTTGACTCCATTATAGGTTTAAAACCTTGTTAAACTAAAAGTGACCCACTAACTAAATTTCTTCTAACTTTTGGAACACGACAAACTTGATCTAAAATTAAACTTTATCCGAAGGTCAACCTAAGCTCAACACTTCCAATTCCCAATACAAAAGCGATGCAGTCATTTCCCAAAGTTACGCTTCCTTCGCTTGAATTTTGATAAGATCTAAACAAACTCTTATCAAAACAACCATGAACATTGGCTTCAGAATCTAACCACCATTCATTATTATAAGTAAAATTGACTAAAGATATCGATGATTCACACATAATGGAATGTCCACCATCCTTCAACATGTTTACTTGATCCTTTTGAAATTTGACCTTAGACTTGTACTCCTTAGTCCTTTTGTAGTAGCAATCCCGTGCAAAATGGTTGGTTCTTCCACGTACATAACATGCCCTTGCTCCTTCTTCTCTTTGCCTTTGTTATCCTTAGGGTAGTTATTTTTTAGGTTGGAAATTTTTTCTATAACGGTGAAATCTCTTCTAAAACTTATTGCCTTGACACTTAAATTGCTTTGATGAGCTAGTAGGGGTTTTTGAATTTTCTACCAAGTTTGCCTTAACAGGTGATTCATCAACTTTATTTGTGCGATTTCTGTGATGTTCTTCTATTCTTAAAATCCCTTGCTTATGCCTAAAACTTTTAGGCAAAGTCCAACCAAGAAGGTGAAAGTTTATCTATAAGGCATAAACCTTATAGTCCTCACTAAAACTTGACCCTTTTTCTTCTACATGTCGTAGTAAATCTTGAAATTGATGGATTTGTTCGTTTATAGATTTTTCGTCCACCATAACATATTTGTTAAAGGTTGACGTGTTAAATCTATCGACTCCAGCATCATCAATTTCATATTCTTCCTCTAAAGTTTTCCAAAGCTCTTTAGCACTCATGATATTTCAATAAATATCATAAAGTCTATCGAAAAGAGCACTTAAAATTTGATTATGATACTGGAATTCAATTTGTTCTGGATTATATCATGAAGTAGATTCTCTACCTTCATTATCTTCTTTTAAAGCAAAAATTAACCCTAGAATGATCAACCAATATTCCATTTGTTTTTTTTCCATCTTTTAAATTTTTTTCCATCAAAGTTTTCCGATTTAGCACTATTAGTATACCATTCTTACACTATGAATTACTAAGACAAAGAGAAGTAGCTGTAGATAAATAAATGTGTTTTATATATATAACACCAACAATAAAATTTCAAATTAAACCAAATATTTAAAGCTTAACTATACTAATTCTCTAACAACAAATATTCTGAGTAATAATATAAGAGATTGAACAAATATTGAAGTTTCAAATACAATAATCATAATATTACATTAACAGTGCACTTTTTAGACAATAAAATGAGTGTTCATAGCATTTTCAGAATTATAACTTGTGTGTGTAAGATTTAAAATATTTGTAAGATTAACTTGTAGATGTAATTAGAAATTACGTGTATAATAATGCAAAAATAAAATTCAAGTAAACTTAGCAAACAAGTAAATAACGATTCATGAATTATTATTATACAAACCACTCACACGACTTTAAATTTTTGTAAAATAACGTGATTTGTATAATGAACTATCAACTATAAGCATGAGTCAAATAAAATAAATATGAGAATAGAGTTAGAAAAGTTGGCCTAAGAAAGTCGCGATAAATACTGTTCTAAAGTCGTGCAAGTACTTTCGGCACTGCACGGTTCCAAGATAAAACTCTTATAGCTCGCAGCTAATTCTATGAGCATGATCATGGGGAGAGAACGAACAAGCCTTATCAATTGCCAAAATTTATAGAAAAAGAGAATATAAAATGACTAGAGAGTGGTATGAAAATACTATAGAGCATTTTTTAAGTGTTTGATTTGTTGTGTGTAAAACAATGAGAAATCCACCTCCTTTTATAATAGAAAAATTCTACTCTCTAATAATGAAAATTAATCAAATTCAACATAAGTTATAAATATTAATAATGGGATTAAATTTTTGTATTGAATCTAAAAATTAAAAACGAAAACTGAAAAATTAAAAAAAAATGAAAACTGAAAACCTGAAATTTAAATGTTAATTTGAAAGTTTTTAAAATTTATTCTCAACAATTAATTCCTAGCTTCTCAAAAGAAGTTTTCTGTGGTTTTAGCCCATTAAAATCTTTAGTTTTCAACACAAAAACTAGCTAAGAGATTGAAACTCAGTAGCCAAAAGCATCAAAGCTTCGATCCCAGTAGCATGTTGTGAGCGCGTGTTCAAGAGAGAGAGGAGAGGAAATTAGTTTACCTTGAGCTAGAATAATGGATGAGTTTACCAGTTGCAGAAAAACAATTAGGGCAACCTCAGCATCAGAAAGAGTAAAGAGTTCTTGAGCTTTTTTGAAAACCCCTCTTATTCTCTTTGAAAAGTGACTTGGCGTGCCATCAAGTTATCAATCTTCTTGATCTGAATCTTCTGTCTCACCATTTACACAGTACACTCATTGCAAAAAAAATATTAGGGCTTGTATGATTTCATTATTTTCAAAATACATTTTTCTCCTTTTCTCTTCAACCATACAATAAAAAAAATTTCCTCATTTTTTAACCATACATTATCCATCAATTTAATATTGCAAAAAATATACTTTGCTAAAAATGGGGCTTAAAAATATGTGTATGTCACTGGTACAATAAGAAATATATTGAGATCGAGAGACGAGATTGAACATTGTTCTTTAATAAAAATAAGTAAAAATGAAACAAAGCATATTTTCAGAGAATCTGAAACCACAACCCAAAAAAATGAAAATCACAGTTAGAAAAATCATTCTTATTTTTTTGCATAAAATAGAAATCTTCGACGGTGACACATTTACTAATTCAGGGAAGAGACGAAAACCTCCACGTGCAGAAGTGAAACCCTAGAGAGAGAAAGTAGAGAGCATCTGAAATCAGAAACCAAGTGAAGTGGCAGTGAAAGTATCAATAAAGTTGGTTTGCAAGTTGCCAACGCAGAGAGAGTGGGAGAGAGGCGTAGGTTTAAAGAAATTTAGGTTGAACCCCAACTTTAGGGGCCCCATCGACCCTGTCCTGAGCCATCGTGGAGGAGGTAAATCGCAGGATGTGCCTCCCAAGAGTCAGGGTGGAGAGCACATGGATAGGCCAAGGCTGTTAACCCATATGGTAACTCCCGCTTGCAACAAAACCAATTCCACCTTGCGAAGAATCGAACTCTGCACACTGCCACGCTGAGCCATATCCGTCCTCCCCTTTGCCACGGGGGATATGCCCTGGGGGCGCGTAGGTTTAAAGAAATTACCTTTACGGGACGTTGGTTTTGTTGAACCTTAAAACTAGCCATACCACTGGATACAGTTCTACCAATGATACTTTACACTATAATTAATTTATTTTGTTTGTACATGCCCAATTACACTATAATTAATTTAAGCATAGTAATTATTTTAACGGTTGTCAACTAATATTAAATTCAACTGAATTGCAAATATTTGAACCTACTTTAATCTTAAATAAAATAATATAAAATCCACTCCAAGAATAACCAAAATAAATAAAGCCTAAATATGCGTCGACTAAGCCCTAGTTTGTCTACCGTTAAAGTAGAAGAAAGAGTTTTTAAATAGTGACATTTTAAAGAATGTATGTTTAAAAACGTGAAAAAAATTTACATGTACGTAGAAAATAATTTATTATAAGAATATGTAATTAAAAATGTATATAAGAAAAAATAGTTTTGAAATATTGACAAACAGAGGCTAAGTTCTTTAGCAATTGAAGAAGGATAAGAATCTGGATGTATTAGCGATTGCGTCTAAACCATGATATTGATGAAAAATAAATTCAAAAATCCTATTAATGGCAATTTAACAAAAATGACATTTTTTGCTTTTATCAAAATAACCTTTCAATATAAAATATCAATTTAACATTTTTTCTTTAATCGCCCAACTGACCATAGTCAAATTTGAGTTCATCCCTGTTCAAAAACTAGAACAATATCGTCTTCAATTTCAGATGTTAAGCAATCAAAATTTCACTTTTATGTACATCGTATAATTTACTTGGACAGTATGATTCCAATAGCATGATTTCGGCATAAATAGCACGAGCAAATTCAAAACAGAAGATTTAAATGTTCAGAAGCCACGTAATTCCAAAACATTGGCCCCTCACACTCCATTACTTACACAGCAATTTATAATTACATCCTAGTAAAAAAAAAATAGACAATTATCCTTCTGGGCTGTGGTCTCCTGGCATCATCTTCGATTGGAGAAAGGTAAGCTGCCAAAATTAACATAAGCATACAGTCAAAAAGATCTGAGACTATAGCCTACTAAGACAATATTTTTTTTTGTGTAAATTTGAATTAGGTCACATGAATCTTATGAAAATTAAGTACCCCAGCCGGAGGGAAGTATCAGAGCCATGAGAATTGGTGATACACTCGGATGAATTGCTTTGCTCAATAGCATTTCCAGTACCTTCAGATTTCTGCATAAACAGCTCACTTTATGACTTGACAACGCGAAATTTACTACTAAATTCCACTGCGAGCATGCAGTATGAGAAATGATATATAATTTTGGAAAATAAAAGATCAACTCTCACTTCTGCTTGCTGTTTTAACTTAGCATTTTCTTTCATTAATTTAGATTCCTGCATATCAGGAAAGTTACTAATTAGCCCAAGCCTTTAGATGTTGAGTTTATCATTTTACGGAATTTATCTCTTAACAAGGAGCAGCATGATTATATTTTTCATTGAAGGATAAAGTTTGAGGTCTTGCCTTTTTCATGAGCATATTTATCTCTTTAAAAAACATGTCACTCTTCCCACGGAAAGACAAAGATGTTAGCACAAAAAATCTACACAGGAAACACTGGAAAACACGGAATTGTATGTAATAATACCTTTGTTTCGACAACATGATTTAGTACTCCCGTGTACCCTTTTCTCTAGTTTGATCAACTCACCCATGTCAAGTCCTTGGAGCTCCTCTCCCTTGAGTTGCCTATCATAATTACAATTGTGTCTCAACTGTGCAACGCACTTGAATACGCGTAATAACAAATCTTTAATTCACAGCCATATTTTACCTTAATTCACGAGTCTTCTCCACGAGCATCTTGCTGAGCAAGCCATAACTATCATTTTCCTGACAAGAAAATGCAAATAGGGCTATTCAAATATCACACGACATAACATTTTTGTGTTTTTGACATTATGTTGGTGAAATAAATTCTTCATTTATTTAGTCAAGTTCATCATTTTTTTAGTTCAGTTCAGTCATGTCTTTTGGGATTCTTCATGTAATTGGAAAATATAAGAATTATTTTCAAGATTTGTTTGCCTATAATAACAAATACATGTATTTGATTAAATTCATGTTTTGTGAAACCTATAAAATGTCAGAGAATGTACTCTGTTGGGTTTTTTGATACCCAATAAATCCCGGGCTATGATGTTAACGTGGGTTAATATTATTTCATAGGTATAGGCCGATGAATGAAATAAGTCCAACAACCAAATCCATGAGCTACACCCGACCCAATTGTATTCCTTATGGATGGCTTGAATCTTAGCCCATTTACCCCTTTAATGGCCCAACTTAAAGTCTAACCCTAGAGTATATATATGAATATAACCCTAGCCTCTTTGAAATGATGATTGTGTGATTTTGAGAGAAGAAACTAGAGAATCCCGGCTGTCCCCCTTTGTGTGAGAAAAAAGGTATCCAGAAGTGTCCAGAACGCTGGTATAACGTGTGCAATTGGTGGTTCTTTCATAGTATACCTTTGTGGTGTCTTCTCCTAACCTTTGTGGCCATAAATCATCATCCCTTCTTGTCCTACGTGGGTAAGATTGTATAGCAACCAAGGTGAATCAATTGGTTGTGTTTTGGAGCCGTTTGGATTGGTTGTTGGTAGAGAAAGGTACGTTGGACTGAGCCTGAAAAACCACCGTTTGAAGATCCTTTTGAGAGAGCTTCCGCAACAATTGGTATCAGAGCTTCAAGGTAAAGGTTTTGGCTCGTGAAATCTACCAGAAATCGTCTAGAAAATAGGAAGAAACGCAGTAGAAATCAGATCGAAGAAGCTGTCCAAAAACTGTTTAAATCAGTCTCCGTTTTTCATGTTTTTTGATCAATCCAGAGGAGTTTGGGGAAACAGAGACAACTGGCGTAACGTGCAGGAGGAGGGGAACCCTGCAGGCTGGCGCGTGGTGGAAGACGACGGCGCGTGTGGTGGCGCGTGAGGCCCACGCGCAGAGAAGAGAGGCCGCGCGTGAGGGCGCTTTTCTGTTTCAGGCTACGCAGAAGAATCTGGACAGCGTTGTTGTTTGGGCGTTCGGGACTCGATAGTGATTTTTTGGTTGCTGCAGTTTCCAGAGACTTTAGGATGAACAGTGATAATTCTAAAGTGGTGAATTCGCATGTCTCGATATTTACGGACCTTCAGACATGGTCCGCTCGATATCGTGTTCTTTACTTTTTATTATTGCAGTTAAAATTAATGTGTACGTTAATTATTTATTTTTCGCATTAGAAGTCATCGTGTGGGGTGACATTAGGTTTGGGGTAACCATTGCTTGTTGCTAGACCTAGGAATTACATGTTAATTATCTTAAAATTCTATGTGAATTTATCACCAATTTTTCTACACTGATAGAATTGCATGTGACCTTAGGAAAATTTACTTGACTGTTCTGTGTGAATTATGTGTCACTACTTTGCTTGTGGTCATTATTTGGTATTATTGGCATGTATAGGTTTAAGACAAATGCGAAAAATAATATATATTTTAACTGTGTTGAAATTTGGACATAATTGAAAGAGATTGTCCAGGATGATAATAAAAGGAAAGATGAGGATAGAGACAAGGCGAATATGACTTTAGGATCGAGTAGTGATCCTAATGAGGTTTATTAAGAGAATAAACTTGGTTTTTGCATTGCATTTGTGTGTGATCCTTTCTGCATGTGTGTGATTGTCTAAATTTTGTTGCATGATTATCTGCTACATTTCAATGTGTTTGATATGTGCATTTGCATGAATTTGAGACATTAGGATTACTTGGTGTAATTGCTTGCATGCAGAGTGGGTTAGGATGCATTAGCAGTGTTGTGTGTCTTTTGGTGAGGTGGAGTATAGATGCCTAAGGGTACATGGTGGTTTGTACCGAGGGATGTAGAGTGTGACATTTGGATCACGAGTGGAGATGTGATCAAATGTCTAGGATCCTTTATCTGGAAAGAGACCCTGATCAGGTGGAGTGTGAGAGAGACACTTCTATCACTTCTATTAGGTGGAGACCCATTATCCAGGTAGGTTGGGAGAAGTGATGTGGAGATAGAGGATTATCCCGTGGACTTAGGATCTATTGTGACTCACCAGTTAGACATGAGTTGAGTAATCTGTCTAGTGAGCGTGGTGGGCGATGAGAGGAGATATGTGTTCTCGAGGTGTGAGCAACACGGAATGGGATAGGATAAGTGTGGTGAGATCTTTTCTTAGGGTCATTTATGCATGTGTTGCATATGTGGTTGACCGTGGTTTGATTGACTTGGTGTTAATCTATGGTTCTATGTGAACATGTTTCTGAAAAGATCTGTGTGTGTTATCCTATAGTATATCGTCATCGCATGTGTATTTGCTCTTGATTATTTACTGTTAAATATTTGCTTCTAATTGGGTGTTTTTTGACCTTAGCCCAAGTGAGTACATGGAGCAGGTATGGTATGTGTTTCAAGTTGGAAACACGAGGTAAGGTCTGTGATCCAATTTTATTGGCTACCTTGATTATGCAAGTGTTAACTGTGTGGTTTGATTGCTTGCAGATTTATTGGGCATCAAGGTGGAGATTTGTTGGGTTTTTTGATACCCAATAAATCACGGACTATGATGTTAACGTGGGTTAATATTATTTCATAGGTATAGGCCGATGAATGAAATAAGTCCAACAACCAAATCCATGAGCTACACCCGGCCCAAT